CGACCAAAGGGGTCATAATTTCAGCTTCCATCTCATTCCTTACTCGAAGAGAAGCGGGAAATTCCTACCACACATTCACTTCCATGGCTGTCAACCAAGCTTCTCTGTGTTCTTCTAAAATGTGCAACTTGAGTTAAAAGAGAGAGAAAGAGAAATGTACATTAGGTAAAATAAAGTAAAATAAAATAAAAAGGGAGGGAGAGGTTTTGTTTGGTTGGGTAGGGGAGTAGTATAATGTTTGTTTTGACAATTTTGCTCACCAATTAACTTCACATTTGAGTCAACATCCAGATTTTCCCGTTGACTAATGGAAATTCAGATGGGATGCTTGATATGGACTGATGTTGCAACTACATATAAATGTTTGAGACCGACGCTGCAAAAATTAAAGGTTTGGGTGTAATCGGCAGCAAAATGAAAGGTTTGGGACTGACGTCGCAATTTTCCCTAGTTTATTAGGTTAATTTCAACCATGGCCACTCAAGTTTCTCAAGATTATATTAGTTGCCATTGAAGTATTATTATTTTTATTTTTTTTGTAATAGTTACTTAAATTTCTAACGATTACACTAACAGCGACCATACGTGCCCCAACTGAAAAAAAATGGATTTTTTTTTCTTTTTGAAAAATTTACATAAAAGTAGTTTAATTTAACAAAAAAGCTACTCGTATAAAAAAAAATTTGACAAAAAAGTGACACACTCTCACATGATGTTGGCCACCACATGTATAAAAAATTGAAAAAAAATGTGGGGCCCCCCTGATGTGAGGGGCCGGTCAGGGTGTTTGTCACCCTGATCCGGTACACCAAGCAGGGCTCTTAATTTAATGCTTTGAAAGAAAAGCGGTGTCAGTAGAGTGACAGAAAACTTGACGGTGCGCTTTGGGAGCTTTGGTAGTTCACCGGCACGGAAGCCATACAAGGGGAAAACAAAAGGGTAAGCCTTTGTAAATTTACGTGTTTATACTTTATATTTTGCTTCTTTTTTTTTCCCCCATTTGGTTAATTATTCCAATAAGTATATATTTGTCTAAGCTTTTAAAAAAATGTAAAATTTATAAAGGTTCAAAATTTGTGTTTGGGACAGCTGATAGTTTTATTTCTCTGTCTCCGCACCTTTGTTTTGCGAGTAATGCTTTTTGATACATACAATTTCAATGATGGACTAGACTTATAAAAAATGGGTTATGAATAGGCATCGATAACTTTGACTAGGGCAGCGAGTACGAGAGTGACATGAGCTTATAAGTCAATAAGTTTTGAATAATGTTAGGTGTACATAACCATTCACATAATGGTTCACATAATACACGTGACAATCATTCACTTGTTGATGTGTAAGTGTGAAATTTGAATTAAAGGTTGGATCACATGCCACATGTAATTATGTGAACCATTATATGAATGGTTATGTACACGTAGCATTACTCATAAGTTTTTATGTATATCATAGTATGACTAGATCACACGACATAATTAATTTTTTTTATGAATTATGTTATTTGTACCCTATGGATTACACTCTTGTTTACCCCATCCCACCCCCTTTCTCACATGGGGGTCGGGTCCCACGTCCAATAAATGCATGGGATCGGACCCTCATGTGAGGGAAGGGATGGGCCCGAGTAAACAAAAGTGTAATCCATAAGGTACATGTAGCATAACTTTTTTATTTTTTATTTTTGTTATTCAGCTCCTAGTCATCTAGACTGGGCATTTTTTTATTTTATTTTTGCATATTGTATCTACATTGTTTGGAGGTTAAGTCTAATGTTCCCCAAACTCAAATTTCTTTTTATTTTCATACAAATAAGGACTTGTTTGATAAAAAGGAATCCAAGGGTCATATTCTTCTTCAATTTGAGTTTTACTCACATCTCGAAAGAATTCATTTACTCTTTAGCGTCAATTAACTTAGTATAAATGGCAATTTTCACTCAAGTAAAAATCTTTTTTCGAAGATGTCATATAAATTACTTTGCTAGTTAGTAAATAGTCAAATAAGTAACTTATAGTATATTTAGCTGTAATACTCTGATTTGAAGCACAAAATCAACAAAACTTATTCTAAACCTTATTTATTTGAATATAAACTAATTCATTCTAAGTGTACCTTTCAAGCTTAGCCAGATAATTTAGGTACTTTGTCACATTAATAGATTAACCAATGAAATTAGTCATGAAGGTGTAATTTTGAATTGCAATACAATTAAAAAATCAAAGACACATACACTGTTTGACATTTCATAATTAGTCTCTATATAATTCAGGGTTTCAGAAGAGGCCTAACACTGACCAAGTTGGGGGGACTTTAGCATCAACCTCAAAGGCTGATGTTGTAGTTGCTTAGAATAGCTTAAGGAACTACAAGACAATTAATGGAGTCGTGGCTGCACTTGCCAGAATGCACACCAACTTGATAATAGTTTAAAATTAAGTTTAATTTACATTTAACCTATGATTTACGTTTAATTTTCATACTTGAGGTTGTATCGTGTATTTATTATTATTGTTTTGGGTTTTATTGAATTATATATGTGTAAGATTTTTACGTTTTTGTGCATTTACATATAAAATGAAGAATTTTTGATGTTATTTAGGCTCTGTCTGGTGCGGCTGTTAATTACAATTAGAGACGTTAGGCCACAATATTTGACTTCCTTGATGAGAGAGTGGGCCCCAATTTTCTTAAGCAACGGTCAAAAAATCACTTTTCTCTCAAATTTTAAGCTGGCACAGACACAGCCTTAATAAAATATTAATAAATGATCTCGCTATTATGGTCGTTGATTGTCGACAGTTAGTGATCAACGGCCGCCCTAACTGACCTTCAATTTTAGATTTGTCACCGAATATTAAAATCATATTTTTAGTACATTTGGATAACATTTGATGAAATATGCGGTTAAAAAATTATGAATTCCATGACATAGGTGGTTCAAATTATTTGTTGACTTTAACTTTAAATTTTTAATCAATGGGGCATAATGTTGTGCTTTATTAACCCAGATTTGGACGCAAAAATATACCAACTCCAGAAGTAGAGGAAGCTGGGAAAACAAAACAATGTCAAAAAACGGAAAACACGAAGGCCCATGGCCAATTATTTCCAGGCCTTGCAAGGAAAAATTGACTCCATGGGACCGAAAGAAAATTATAGCCCAAACACAGAGAAAAAGAATTAAAATTATGATAATGGAGATGCGGGGTATCGATCCCCGTACCTCTCGCATGCTAAGCGAGCGCTCTACCATCTGAGCTACATCCCCACATTTGTCATTGAAAAATAGGATAAAATATTTAAATTTAATTTTAAAATTTAATTTCTACCACAAATTTACCTATTTAATAACATGTTGAAGTTCTTGGAATACCCCTGAGCAAGTGAGAGTATTCTATTACCATATGATTTTCATTGGCTATATTAGGAAAGCCAAGCCTAATTTTAAGTATATTAAGCCACCGTTTGATATAGATTAAAATCAGATTTTTAGTAGATTCGATAAAAGTTGATTAAATGTGTTGAAAAATCGTGGTCCCATGAAATGTGTGGTTAAAATTAATTGTTGATTTTGACTTGAGATTAAAACCAAACATGAGCTAAATATCGATAAGGACCAGTTTAGTACATCACATAAATCTCCATGGGTGAATATGATAATAATACGATTGCAACTAGCCTAAATTTTGTTCAATTTTGACCAAAGTCAATAAGGGTATGATAGACGAACTAATTGATGCGAGCAGGAGACCAGGAGTACCAATTGATACTAGATGTACAAGTTAATGCTAGTCGAACCACTTGATGGCGTCGATTGACCATCCTCACGAGGGATCAACAACACTAAAATTCAGTTGGTCATATTGCAATCCGACTAGCACGCTAGTAACCACTCTTATCCGAATTATCCAAGTGGCCCACTCACTACACACATGCAACCAAACTCTTGAAATTATGACCAGTTATATTATAACGTTAACCCGCAGACTAAGGTAGCTTGAAGGCCATAGACCGATCTATTCTATGTGGGGTCGATTGACCACCTCCACAAGGGGTTGATGGACCACACCTCCAATGGTTGGCCGACAAATTCGAATATAGACGGCTATTGACACAATCCAGACACGCTCCATAATTAAAACGACGATTACACTCCACTCACCAAAATCGCTTAGCAAGTGGATAAAAATGCCAGATGCACAAACGGAAGTTAATTACCGAAGATATCACCAGTCTCTTTTTGCATGTAAATAGGTGACGGAAGTGACAATATTTTGCTATGCTTAGGAAAATAAAGGGTCACGACATGACAAGTGCAAATAAAATAATAAAGTACAATTCTTCACCGCAGCAAATGAAAGATTTTAATTCATCTTTTCAAAGGGCTGCTATAATTTGAAAAAAGTAGTTTGTTGATGGCAAGAATCAAATATAAAATAAAAGCATAGATATCGATTTCACTATTAACATTAAATAGGAAATAATATTTCGTGCAATCCAATCCAATTCTTATCCAATGGTTAAATTTGTCTATGGTGAGTTAAAATTTAGAATGAAAACGTGGGAGATTTTCAAAAATAACTTAATCAAAGCATATGCTCACTAAAAATACCCGAATTTCCACCTAAACTCCAATCCAATACTAAAAAAACAAGGAATACGAAGTTAAATACTATGATATGCTCTTACGACGTCGTGTAGATGCAACTATGACTAGGTGAGATTATAAATAAATGTATAAATATCAGAGAGTATAAACGAATGCTTATGCCTCGGTCATACCGTAACGCGAACAGTGCACCCTTTACTTGCAGCATTTAGATTGATCATAAAGCATAAGAGATTTTCCGTGTAATAACAATGTGAAGTGATGCCAAAACCTCAAGTGTCTTTGTTTTGTGGGTCTTCAAGTTGTTGACATTAATGTCGATGCCATTGATGCAGGGGCATCCCAAAGATAGATGCCTCGGGCGAAATTCAAATTTAGGTTATTGACATTAATGTCGATGCTGTTGATGCAGGGGCAGCCCGTGCCATGACAGAGAGAGACAGACTAGGAGAAGAGACATAATGAAAGGGGATGCAGGAGAAAGACATGCCCTTGGTCTTATTGGCTCATTATGTCTTGTTATCTAAATAAGAAAATGTAGTGCTATAATTAGAATTACTTGATTAGGTCAATTTGTGGAAGTTTTGGCAAATTGCAAAAGCTTAGCAAGAATGGATTGCATATATATGCAAAAAACTTCCATAAAGAAACAAGCAGTACTACATGATGTAATAAAAGTTCAAAAGATTTTCAGCATCCAATTTATTAGTACCCCAGTTAACAGATTGGGTTATAATCTGCTTTGATATTTCACCCTTAAACATGTACTCTTTTATTGGGTATAACCTTGAGTGGATTCTTCTTCCTCAGAGTTAATCCCAACCTTTCTTGCATTTCAATGTGTTCGGGTTTGACACCTGCTCCAAGATCCCAGTCAAAAGCCTGGACGAGGGTGGCTATGGTGAGGTGAACCACCCTATGAGCCAAGGGGAACCCTACACAAATCCTTCTTCCAGAGCCAAATGGGATCAACTCAAAATGTTGTCCCTTGTACTCAATGCTTGATTTCAAGAACCTTTCGGGCTTGAAGCTCAAGGGATCCTCCCAGGAATCTGGATCTCTTCCAATGGCCCAAGCATTCACAAGAACTTGGGTGCCCTTTGGGATAAGGTACCCCATGTACTTGGTGTCCTCCATTGTGTTCCTTGGCAGGAGCAAGGGTAGTGCAGGGTGCAATCGGAGAGTTTCCTTCACAACTGCCTGGAGATACGGCATGTTCTCGACGTCTTTCTCTTCCACCAGCCTGTGTACTCCGACCACCCTGTCGAGCTCCTCTCTTAGCTTCTTGAACGCGTGCGGGTTGCGTAGTAGCTCTGCGAAACCCCATTCAATGCTTATACTAGTAGTTTCAGATCCAGCGAAGAACATTTCCTGTAAATTAGCCGTCAGTCAATAGAGATGGTCAATTCAGTGTACTCAAGGAGTTAACCAATAACTATGAAAATGATACATTTTAACTTGCTAGATCAATTTATTTCAACATTACAGACATCTCTTCCTTCAGAATCCAACTCACCGAGTCTGCCCCATAGCACACACCCAGCTCTACCGACCTCTTGTTCGTTTTTTTCTCTTTATATTTCTTTAAATCAATAAAAATAAGTGTACGTTCCAAAATTCATTCTCTCCCCGACACCATCCTCAACTAGTTTTCTCCGAATTTATATGTACAGATGGAACTTGAATTTGCTGTCACGATGAAAAGCACCGTATAAAGAAAATTAGGGAAGAATTACGTACCATGATAACAATGTTGACATTGTGCTCTGTCATTCTATCAGGCCCGTCCTTGCCATCACCTTCATACTCCAATAACACATCAAGAAAGTCTTTCTTTTCCTGGAATTTGCCTGCTTTCCTGTTGTCGAGCCTCTCCTGCACGAACTTGGAAGAAATTTTCATGGTTCTGGTCATGTTCCTTATCATATTCCTCTTCATCCCGAGGGGATCGATCAACTTCAAAGCTGGAAAGAAGTCAGCTATATTTGGTGTTCCTGCGAGCTCAAGAATAACATTCATACAATCAAAGAACTCCTTCCCTTCAGGATCCTTTGCATCCAACAAATCCCGGGACAACATCAGGTTCCCCACCAGGTTAAACGCCATAAGGAAGAGGAACCGGCTCAGTTGCACTGCCCCAGTTCCTCCCTGAGCTAGCGATGTTTTTGAGTCCTCTTCAATCCAGCGTATCATATCGTGCATAAGCCTCATTCTCAACTCAGTAGTCTCGTTCATTCTCTTGTTCACCAAGAATTCCATGGAACAGAGCCGCCGGAGTACCCTCCAGTGCCCTCCAAATGTGTTCATCCCCAAAGATCCCGCGTTGAAATTATACGCCGTGAGTGCATCAGGCACCTTGCGGTCAGCAAACGGCACGTCGTGTTTCTTGAACAACTCAGCAGCCGTAGAGGCATTCTGAACGATCATCGTATTAACCTGGCCGAGATTGAGCCAAAGGAGAGGTCCATAGGTTTTGCTCCAATGGTACATAGTTTGGTGAGGCAAATCCCCCAACTGAAACATACTCCCAAAAATTGGGATTCCTTTAGGCCCTGGTGGTCTATCACCTGATTTCTTGCCCTTCAAAAAATTCAGAATCAGAAGAACAAAACCAACAGTAAGAGAAATAGTAAGTGGATTAACTGAACTCAAAGCCCACTCCATTTTGTAACTTCCACTCCTTTTTTTCCCCTTAAAATTTGCAGCTTTCACGTAGGGAACCCTTGGATATATAGGCAAAAGCAATGTCTACAATTCTATTACATGCAAAGTGAACAATTAAATTAATACATGTGGTCGAAAATGCCTGTTTAGTCTATTCGGGGGCCATCTCAATTTGCAAGCCATTATATTTGTCTCAGTGATTTTTTTTATTTTTATTTTTCCTAAATAATTAGCTTAGGCGATTTTTTTCTAGTTCAAAATGTTCACCTGGCATCAAAATATGTAAAAAATTGTGTATGGAAATCAATTTTCAACTATTTCATATCAAAATTATACGTGAATTTACGTCGAAGATAAAATATAAAATAAAAGAATAATTTAAATAATAGAGCATGCATAACACGAGTGTAATAATAGAGGAAAATCTAATAATCTTGGAGTGGGGCCTCTTGTCTATTTAAATAATGGAGCATGCGGAGCTCGAGCGTACAGGTTGAAGAATAAACCAGAAATCCCAAGACACACAAGAGGCTTAAAAGAATTCCCAATTTTTGCGTCCCGCGCACAAAATTTGTGGTTATAAGTTATGAGTTCATAGAATATACGAGGATAAAAAGTGTGTGTAACCATTTTAAATTTTGCAAAAATGTAATTAACCACAACTCAAACTTGTTAAGTTAGAAAATACGAAAAAAAAAAATACGAAATTTGATCAAACAATTGAAACTACCAAGAATTCAACACTAAAAAATTTCACTCGAGCTTTATCGAGTACAGTAGTATGAGGTTGTTAAGATTGAACAACATCACCTATTTGGAAGTTGTACTATTCAAGATTCTCCCATTTTAACAAGAGTAAAATCAAAGAGTTCAACTAGGATGTCGTGGTCAAATAGTTTAGCATTCGTTTGAGTCATATTTTATCAAAAATTCATTTTCAATCACACATTTTTCAAAAATTACTACTCAAAACATTTTTTTTTCCTCAACATGGGACTCAAACAAATGTTTAATAGGAGCTCCAATCGTTGTATTTAACAAATCTCCACTCAAAAAAAAAATCGCGGAACACTAATTCAAACTACAAAAATTTTGTTTTTTTTTTTTTCGTATTTTCTAACTTAACAAGTTTGAGTTGTGGTTAATTACATTTTTGCAATATTTAAAATCCACCTAACAACTAAATTCTACATAAATTCGATGGAAGACCTTGACAGCATCACAACCATACGGTCCATACCCATCTACTTAAAAGCAAGTTTAATTGTGGTATATGTTTGACAAAACTTATAATTGTTTATAGAATAATCGGACTATATTTTTATCCGTAGAGTTGAGAATCTTGAGATGCGTTGTCTTAACTATTTACATCCTTTGGATAATTGGAAGTGACATGCTCATTATCATCTCGTAACGTATCCTATCCTCACATTTCGAGTGGTTTTGAGTACGAAACATTTATCTCACATTAATTAAAAAATATATATATATATATATATATTCTCCATAAGAAAAGTGAATATAAATATTTAATTCTTCTACTGGTACTGTACATTGAGAATATAAAAATTAATTTTGAGCCAATTATAAATAGGTGCAAAACATGTCTTAATTTATGTTTAAAAATAACCTAAGTTTTGACGTTTGAATACAATAATTATGTAAAGCCAATAGCGCTACCTGTCAACCGATAAATGAATGGATGTGGGCCGAGAAGTGTACAAAATCTCTGGAGCCCTGGCACCGTCAAATAAATACTCGTGTGGCCAATGCTACACCTGCCACTCATTTAATTCTTTGACTAACGTCTTATTAAAAACCATACAAAATTATAGAATTCTTCCACTTAGAGGAAATTGCACTGAATGTCAATTTTTGACTTTACATTTACAATATATTTTTTTTAATTTTTAAATTTAGTGACATTTATGAAAATTCTCGCTTCTTCTTATAAGTACAACAGCATATATGTGCGTGCGTGCGTGCGATTAAAATTTATTTTTATTTCTAATTAAAGTAAATACGGTTCATTTCATTTTTTCCCCTTTTTTTTTGGCACAAATTGAACGCGTCCCAATAATATTTTCTTTTTTTTTTTTTTAACTGAAAAAAATATAATTTAGAAAATGAAAATTTTGAAATTTGACTAGGAAAAGAAAGGAAAATACGAAATAATTTGTCATCCTTTTTTGGAAACTAAATACATGTGCGGAATAAGTTTAAACATTTGGCGACAATATTCCACGGTTCACACCATATTTTCGTAAAAGTACACTATATTTGAATTGCACTAAAGACTTTCAATCTTTACTTATTGTCATACTTATATTTTTAATTTTTTAATCGCATTTTTATATCCAATCTTCTATGAATAAAACATATTGTAACTGATAAAGGTTTTCGTCCAAAATTGCATTAAGATGGCGTAAATAGACTTATTTGCTTCTCATATTTTTAAATAAGTAAAAAATGACAAATACAAAAGTGAAACTAGATATTTTTAAAGCATACTAAATCATGAACAAAACTGTCATCGGGGATAATATGTGTTAGTTAATGGAAGGTTGAGGATAAAATTGCGATGAAAAAATAAAGGTCAAAAGTGTGACAAATGAGTAAGTGTTAGGGACCTTTAATGTAATTCAGATATGGTGCATTTGTAAATAGGGTAAATTGCACTAGAGGTTCCACACCTTTCAAAAAATTATTGTAGGGTCTTAAATCTTTCATTTACCGCTTGAAGTTCCAAACCTTCAAATTAATATGTGGTGCTAAGTCTCATGAATGATTTCCATCCACACCCATTGATCAGATTTTAACAAATTTAGGCCTCCGTTTGATCTACATTATTATCTCATTAAAATGAAAAATATGATCTCTATACATCACATCAACATTTAAATTTAAATTTTCTATCTCTTATGTGGGCCCCAATAACGACTATATTTTTCATTCTCATTTTACAATAATTTGGCTCAAACAGGACCTAAAGAAGGGGCGAAAATGTCTTTATATG